CTCTAATGCCCTCGCTTCCTCCCCTCCCTCTCTCCCTCCCTCCCTGCCTCCCTCCCTCGCATACTCCTGACGCATCCCTTCGCCAGCTTTCCTGTAAAGCACAGGCAAGCAGACGCAGATCGTATCCCTCGAAATCCATCGCCTCCATTCCACCCCTATCTCCCACTTCCCTCCCCCCCCCTTTCCTCCCTCCCTTCCTGCCCTTCTCTCCTTCCTCTCTCCTCCGCCCCGTCTGGCAAATGCTTACCATCCCCCACTTCCCCTGCCGCCCCTGCCTTTTCTTCCCCTGCTTTTCCTTTAATCCCGAAAGGCCGCCTTCACCTCCTCCGTTTCCCAATACTTCCATTCCTTGTAGTCCTCCATCAACATCAACTCGTTCTCGCCCTGCACCAGCAGTTCCTCCAACTGCCCGTCGTCCAGGGCCTCCTCCAAGGCTCGCGGATCCTCGATTTCCTCCGCCTTGGCGAGACGGTAGCTGGCGATGGACGTGAGCACTTTCCTGTACTCGGCCTCGGGGGGGAACCGCTGTCAAAAACGGCGTGCCGGGCAAGCAGGGGAGGAGAAAGGAGAGAGAGATGGGGGAAGACCCGAGGGCGAGAAAGAGGAAAGGCGGGTGTGCATAGCGAAAAGGGAGGAGAGACGAATTAGAGGGGGGAAATGATGTTGATCGAGGCACTGATAGGGGGGTGAGTTGTCTTGTCTCTTGCCTCCTGCTCGCCCCTAAGCCGTAGGGTATGCTTCGAACGTACAGTGCGGCCTCCCAGGAACAGTGAACCCCGCCCAGGAATCCACGCATCTTGTCCGGATGCCACGCACCTCTATTTTCTCCAATATCTCCTTCTGTTGCTTGATGAAGTCCTCGCGGGCATTCGGGTTCACTGCTAGTCCGACAGGACCTGTAGCTGTCTTATGATAAGATGCCCTGGCGCCTATTGATGCCGCAAGAGCTGCTTGCGGCCCACCCGCCGTCATGTGCCACCCATACACCGGTCGCACATTCCCCCCACGCCGGCAACATAGCCTGGCTGTGGCCAAGAGATGGGAAGACATAGGTCTTGCTGTGTTTGACGGGAAAACAGAAAGCGGACGGGGGAAGGGCTGTTGGCAATCTTGCCGACGACGTAGGGATAGAAAGACACGGCCATACAAGCACCCTCCACGCGGTAAGTCAACCCTTGACTCGTGAACGTAATTATCACATAAACCACAACGCTACAAGTCGCCCATGCCCCAAGCCTGATGCCCTCGCCGCAACGTGGGGCCCTTTGCGAGCGTGAAGGAACGCACCCTGGAGGAGGGGGGCTGTGTCGGTGACGGACATGCATTTTATTCTTTTTTTAAAGGGTGAATGGCTTCGTCCCGTGCTGCTCAACCTGCGAGGGCATCGGGCTTGTCCTTTGCGGCCATGTCGACGGGTAGAATGCGCCCAACATGGTGCAGACATATGAGGTCATGCACTTTTGACAGCATGAAAAGCAGTGTGTCACTTTTGGGACTTTTGGGATTGTTCAAAGGGCTTTTTTCGGGGCAAGTTACCTCCGCCGGCAAGGACATATCTACCCCCCGCGACACACGTCCTGAGAACGTCACCGGTTTATCATGCTCATGGATCTTCATCTCTTTGCCTTCCCATTGAACACGCAGCCACATGCTACACATGCAGTGATGACGACGTAGCTGAGGTCGTATGACGGAGTAGGCATTTTAAGGGGAAGGGACGGGCAAATTTTTGCTAGAGTGCCGAGTGCTTGCCTTGACACCTCGCAAAATATTCCTCGCCTGTACAAGGCTCTGGGAAGGGCTATTAAAGTCCAGCTATGGGGTCTTGTCTCTCTTGTTTCAAGGTACGTTAAACTTTGAGGGATGTTGCTGGCTACTCTGCGGTTTTTGAACTCAGGATGGGAGAGGAGGTGTGTGGATATGAAGGGGTGTTGAACTGAAGGGGAAGGCGACTGCTCAACCCGTAGGGGAAACGTTGACATTGTCCTCACAGCACTGCACGCCTTGGCGTCGGCACAAGCACCCTTATACGCCTGTCCTCGACGCACCCGGGCGGGCGCAACGCCAGCGCCCGGCCTACGACCGAGAGA